CAAAACCTCCAGATAGTATGGGTTTTCGTGCCTGGATAAAAAAAGCCTAACTGGATTTTTTTTTTTTTACGCAGACGCAATCTCAAATACATTTTCGTTTGTGCAATGCGTATAAATGAATTAAAAAAAAAAAAAGGAATGAACTGAAAGACTTTGGCATTCGAAGGGTGTAATTTATTATTTGCTTATCGTTCAGCTACTTGTCCACTTACTAATTTGCTGAAATCTTGGAGGACCGGAAAGACAACATGTTGAGGTGGTGTGCGTAAATTTGTTGAAAATTACCGATAGAAGAAGCTAAGATCCATGCCATTTTCCATAGTTTCCACATCTTGCCCATATTTGTCAGTGCCGTTCACCGCCTGACCTGTAAAAATTTAAAAAAATTTGTTTTAATCTATAACCTCAAATCTGAAAAATTACGAACTGCCTGCTCTTTGTCGTAGAGAACCCGCGAAAAGCCGGCCAAAAATTCGTCACAAAAAAAAAGAGACAAAAAGAAAAGTACATCCAGCCTTGAAAGGCATACATACAGAGCAGATGTGCTGCCAGGCTGAACCTGGAGCACAAGGACCTGTGGTGTAGTAGTAAGACATTGCGCCCGGACGTGAAAAGGAGTGGTTCGATTCCCTACCGGCCCAGAACAGTTTTTGAGAAAGGGCATTGTTCACGATAATCTTCAAAAAAGCAAAATCTTCGGTAAAATTAATCGAGAACAGCGACATCTTTCGGATTTTTTCATATCAGTAATTTTTTTAAACAGTGTTGTTCAAAGTTTTAAGAAATAAACTTGTCATTGGTGTGTCCTTCGAAAAAATGCAGGCAGTGCAAATATGTAACTCACTGATATAAGCATTTAGGTCAAAATTTAGATCATTTTTTTTTAAAAATTTTCGAGTGTAATCAAAAAAAAAAACCTTGTGGAAGTTGTTTCAAATCCACATAATAGCCGGTATAAGACCATGCTCCAAATTTCATTTCACAGCTTTGTGAATCGTAAGGGAACCAGGTTACATCAATCTAAACTTTTTTATTTACGGCTAAATTAAAAAGTAATCTTTATCTGGAAATTTTACGAGCCGAAGAAACGAAAAAATAATTCGCGGCTTTTTCTTGGTACCGGCCTCAATGAAGGTTTCGTTGTCTAACTTTTACGGATATCTAAGTTACTGCCAAATAAAGAACGTACAAAAAAAAAAGAAAGAAATAGCTACCGGGCAAAATGACTTATAAATCGCCGGTGGTTGCCACAGAACACTTCCATCATATGCGACAAGAGCACCGGTAAACACTGTTATATCCGGGTCGCCTGCTGCGCTGAAAAAATCAAACGCTAAAAAAGTCTACAGGCTGAGACAACTGATTAAGCAAGAGTGCCGATGGATGCTCACTTGTTGTAGAGTACAAGATCCGGTCTCCAAATCTGATCGCTGGGAATATGCAGCGTTGTGATACCACCATATTTTGATGGATCCCATGTCAATTTTGCATCGGTCCACTGCTAAAAACAATAATTATAATAAGTGTTGAATATAAGAATAACGATTTCAATGACATAATGATTACTACACTATCAAAATTGCAATTAAAATATTACAATGATTACAGTAAATTAAAGCTGCAGTTAAAATATATTACAATGACATTGACGATAACAAACAATATTAATAACAGCAATAATAATAATGATAACAATAATAATAATAATAATAATAATAATAATAAT